CCTTCTTTTAGGTAGATAGAATGTTTTTTAGAGTTGTATATTATCTATTGGTTTTGGCTATACCTCTCTTTTTCACATTATTTTTAGTGGTTGCTTTAGTAATTACAATAAATATCCTTAACTTTTCAGAGTCTACTTAAAGTTAATATTCATCACCTAATTGTACTTTCTGTTCCTCTGTTTCCTCTTTTGGGAAACAATGGCTGTGGGTAGGCATGTTCACATGCTCAAGTAAGCTGACTTGCTTGTTTACACAGAGATACTTGTTCTGGGTTGTACTGATGTGGGGAAAACAGCCCTGGACATGGAAGGCCAACACTGTAGCTCCAGCTCTGCTGCCCACCTGCTGTGCAGCCTTGAGTGACTAACTGAACCTCTCCAGGCCTCAGATTCTTCCTCTCTGGAGCAAGGGTTACCAGCCTGCCTGGTGGGATGGAATGCGATGATGTATGTAAAAGCACTTTTTAAATGATTAAGCATGCTGATCAAACCAAAGAAACTATTATCCCATCTGAAGATCCTAAGTCAGTGTTGACCATCACCTAAATGAGGCACCTTTTGCACAGCCTTGGAACACTTAGTCCCTTGTCTTGGCTTATCTCATTCCCTCTGGTTCCCTAAGGTCACACCTCTTCTCTTTTGCAGAAACTCTAAGTGCCTCAGACTTTGGTATTAAAGCTCTGGTCTCTGGCAGAGGCCAGGCTATAGACATGAGGAGGATTTTGAAATTTATTCTGAGCATATATTTAAAAGAATATGCCACTTACTCTAGAGGACAATTAAATACCATGTTGAACAGTTGATGCTGGAGTTGAATGGTAGTGAATGATTGGTGCTATGTGATGGTACTCAGCCGGGGGACCCAGAATATCCACTCTTGCTGTGAAGTTCCAAACAAGAAATAATGACAAAGGACAACCAGGTGTCACACCTGATCATTAGTGGGGCATGTATAAAACCACAGTGCACAGCTTTTTTTTTTTTTTTCTATTTTTTTTAATTGATGTAATTAAATGAAGTTTACATTTCAAGTTAGTCTCCCATACAGAATTTTTTTTTAACATACATTGTTATGAGACCCCAACCGCTCACCCCATTCTGTGACAGCACACTCCTCCCCTCCGCCCCTGATTCCCCATGAACATTCAACCAGCTCCTAACTCTCTCTGCCTTCCCCTCTA